GTCGAAGTCACGAGCATGGATCTCCTCGAGAGTCTCCCTTCGAGACTGGTATTTAGCATGTTCGGCAACCCAGTTTGCTCGAGCCTGAGAAGCTTCGGCAACCTCCTTTGCATGAACCTGAGCAGCTTTAGCGTCGGGCCGGCAGATAGCCACCATTGCATCAGCATTAGCCTTGGCCGTGTCGACCTCCGATTTGGCCACCGCAAGTTCTGTGGCCAGCCTCTCTTGATCGGAAGTTGCTGAACCCAACTGAGACTGGAACTCCTCAATTTTCTTGGCTTGCACCACGACCTTCTCTTTCAAGCTTCGGAGTTGGGTCTCAGCCGAGGCCAGTTGAGCTTAGGAAGCTTCCTTTTATGAGGAAAGGTGGTCCATGTTCTTCTTCCATGCCTCAGCCTCCGCTTTCACTACGTCCACTTCCTCACGAACCTATCCGATCACATCGAGCTTTTGCTGGACCTGTGGGACCGAACTGTTAGCTATCATGCTCGAGTCAGTGTCATTAACTTCAAAGATTCTTTTTACTTGCTCGGCCAGATCAACTTGTTCTTTCTGAGCTGCTTCTAGCTCAGCCCGAAGTCCTTTTGTTTCCCCTTCTCTCTGCTCACTGAGAAGCTTAAAGGCATCTCTCTCCTCAGTAAGCCCTCGGTTTTCAGCTTCGTACCGGCTCAGCTCCCCTCGGGATCGGAAGAAAGCCTCGTGATGAAGCACAAAAGCCTACAAAAATAGAAAGAATGAATTATACAAGGGGAGAAAAGTAGAAGTATGAAAATTGACAAAGAAAATATGAACTTACCCGGTTTAGGGCCTGTTGGGATTCGTTGAAAAGACAAGGCGCTCCCACCTCATCCATCTGGGCTTGGTCTTTTTTCGCGAAGAGGTAGCTAGCCACCCCTACGGGGGCAGTAAGAACCCGAGCATCCTCCGGGACCGTGATAACGATTGTTCGCTTGCACCCGGGATCGGCACTAGGGGCCGAAAACTGATTGGTCAGTTTAAAACTCGAGGAAGCCTCGCCCGAACTCTTCTTCGGAACCTCTAAGTCACTCAAACCGGTGGCACCTTCTGCCCCAACAAAATAACCACGGGAAAGATCTTCCTCTCTGTGGGCTCCTTCCCCGTAACAAGTCTCCATGGCCTAAGCGTCGCGTATCATCGACTCGGAAAATAAAGGAAACGATGTGGAATCCCCGATCTCTATTGCCCCAAGTGGGTCTTTTGGGGCGCCGCCTCCGTCTTGGGGAGCCTTGAGCCCGATTTCTGCACCAGTATCCGCCACCTCTTCAACGGTCTCTTTGCCCCGAGATAAAGCATCTTCGGTTCCTCTCGGCTCGGGGACTTAGGCCAAAGTCTCCTCCTCGACCTCATCGAGCCTAGACGGAGTAGTATCAACTCCCACCGGTTCCAGAGTTCTCCGAATCTCAGTGCTAGCTCGCGCACGGGCCACCAGCCCAGAATCATCTTATTTCTCTTCTTCTTCTTCTTCTTCTTCTTCTTCTTCTTCTTCTTCCCTTAGCCTTTGGACTGACTCCATAGTCAGTGGGATTGTGTTCCCCTTGGGTTTACGGGTTGTTCTCTTCTTGGGTTTTTGACCTTCGGAGTTCGAGGCCCTTTTCCTCTTATTCTCCTTCACGGTTTTCGAGATAAGCGATGAAACTTCTTCATCACCGGACGGGGTCTCATAGTCACGTCTCTTTTCGAGACCTACAAAAGGAGAAAGTAAGTAAATTCATGTTTGAAAAGATGTTTGAACGATAGACAAATCAGTGAGTCAGGAAAAAGGCTTACCGTGAGTACGAGCCTCCCACCGACCCTTTGACAAATCGCGCCATGCGCGCTCGGCATGTGTTGACATCAAAACCAGGCTCCTAACCCAGTTCTCGAGGGGGGAACCGCACCCGACATCCAAGCAACGGCTGTATCGAGAAAAACACTAATAAGAAAGGATGAAAAAGTAAAAACAACGAACAGAAATTAAAGACTGAATCATACTTACGTTTCATATTCCATTTCTCAGGAAATGGCATGCTCTCAGCCGTGATTAGGTCCATGGTTTTCACCCGAACGAACCGGCCCATCCAGCCCCGATCTTTGTCTTCATCTATACTCGAGATAAGAGCCTTGGTGGCCCGACGTTGAAGCTTTATCAGCCCACCTCGATAGAGTCGAGGGCTATATAATCTTATGAGGTGGTCAAGGGTGAAGGGAAGCCCGTCGATTTTGCTCACGAAGAAATGGAGCAGTATCACGATCCTCCAGAAAGAGGGGTAAATTTGGCCGAGGGTCACCTGGTATTTCTTGTAGAAGTCTACGATGATCGGATCGAGGGGACCCAGCGTGAAAGGATAAGTGTAAACACTCAGGAACCCTTCCACGTGGGTGGTGATCGCTTCTTTTGGTGCCGGTATCACAACCTCTTTGTTTCCCCAGTTACAATCTTTCTTCACCTGGTCGAGGAGGCTTTTGGGTATCGAGCATATATATCTCGATATCGGCTCGCATCAACCAGGAACTGATGAGGCTTTCTCGACCTTAAAGTCAGAATCTATGACACACCCCCCGGGAATAAGTTCTTCAGGGCGTGGCTCCACCATTAGTTTCTCGCCGGCCGACCAAGATGAGGAAGCAACCTCTTTCTGCAGAACAGTTTTGATGTTTTGGCCATTTAGTTTTTGTAGGCAAAAAAGAATGGAGATTGAAGTATTTGGTGTTATAGGAAGAACAAGCAAAGAAATTCAAAGATCTGAAGATAGGAAGCTTTGAAGAAGGCAAAGAACTATGGAGATTGGAATGAAAAAGATTTAAAAGTAAAGTTTGAAATAATGAAGAATGGGGCTATTTATCGGTTCCACGACGACGGTTCAAAACTGGTAGTGGCCGACCGTCGACTGAAGCGCATTAAATACCTGGAAAATTGTACCGACAAGACGTTTCGGTCACTTCTGCTGCTTATGTCACGACGATTACGTCATGATCGAAGGCTCAAATCGTTTCTTGTCATTACTCTCTAAAAAACGAGGGGACTATCTATATACGGTCAAAATCGGGTGGTTAATCGAGACCGGGGTGGCAGACCGAGGTTCAAACCCAAGTTATATTGGATCGTTACATGAATAACTATTGCCTAGCTCGTGATTCAGGGATCGATCAAGATCGAGACCAGCTAAGGTCGAGACCGAGAAGGATAGAGATCTAGCGAGATCGAAGGAAGCATGCTAAGTCGAATAACAGAAAGCCGAGGAATCCGTGACCGGGCGAGGATTGTGGCAGAGATCTCGGCATGTATCAAGTCAAGACCGGTTGATTAGCCAATCAGGAGATTTTCTTCTGTATTTAGAATTGTATCATATGTAGAACTCCTCTACTATATAAAGTGGGTTTCAATCATTTTGTAATGACAGATTCACGCATAACAAAATAATATATTACGTTTTCTCTCTTAAACTTTCTTATTGAGTAGTTCAGTTCTTACTCTTCAATAATACACTTAGTTGGTGCGAGGCAACCTAGCTCAAGGGCCAAAGTTGTATGATATATCGGTTTGCTTTATTTTACAGTTAATTTCTAACTTCAATTTTCATATTTCTCAGTTTGTGCCAAGTGAAATCACATATCCTTAAAATCACTTATAAATTTAATTATTATCCGATTTTAAGAGTAAACATGTTTGTTTATAGATTTTTAGCAGATTTCGAAAACAAAATCTTCAAATCCCAGAAACGACTCTAGAGTAGTTTTTGAAAATTTTCTTTTTTACTCACAAAACTTTAAATTCATTTCAAGTAAAATTCATGTCCAAGCACAATCTTCAGCTTTCAAAAATTAATTTTCATCTCATCTTTAAAAACTCATATTTTTAAGAAGTTACGTAAAGCACAAGTTAAAATTGAAAATCAAATGTTGTTAGAAGGAGGGAGGCGAGTCATATCAATTATGCAACATGCGCCAGTCGTGTATTGTTTCATTCTCTTTTGGTAGTAAGAACGTGAAAATTAAATGTATGCGAGGAAATTAATGATCGACTAGAGATTGTCTTAGGAAAGTGAATGTTTTTAAAGAACTGTATAAGAAAATAAAATGAAATATAAACATTTAATTTAGGAGTACAAATATATAAGAGATTATATTGCTTCAATGGAATCAAAGTGGACTTCACTTTTTAATGAATCTGAAGTCCGTTAAATATTGAAAAAGTGGTGCTTTAATTTTTTTTGGGAGAAGTGGTGACTTTAAAACATTTTCATAATCTGATATACTTATTTATTCTTTTTTGGTCGTTTCCACAGCTTTTCATGAGTATGCACATTCATTGTACTAAAAGTTTAAGCTTCAAGTCCCCAACCTAAACTATGCAACGGTCATTGGCACAGGAATATAAAGGATTAGCGTGTATAAACCGAATCGAAAAATCGCACCAAATCGATTGAAAAAACTGATTAAGTTTGGTTTGATTTTGTTTGGTATTAAGTAAAAAAATTCGAACAAAACCGACATATAAATATATAATTTTTATATATACTTTTGAGATTTTATATAGAATTTTCTTTAAAAAATATCTAAAATATTTGGGATTCTCTTACGGGATATAATATTTAATAGAATATAAAGTGCTCCATATTTATTAACTAAAATTGGTGGGTTGTATGATTAGTTACTTATCAAGTGTTACTGGAATGCATCAATCTCTTTTGTTCTTTCATATTCATATGTCAAGATCTATTAAATTCGTATATCTTTTTCGAATTTGAAGTGATTATCATTTAGGTATCATATTAATTTTTATGTTTAATTACTAAATACGATTAACCTTGAAAGTGTACATCAACAAAAAATTATTGCCAACGACTAAAAATAATTATCATGTGTTACTAAAAAAATTCTCCCATAGGAATATTTTAATAGATAATATGTTCATCAATTTTTTAAATTTTTACTAAACATATATTTACTCATAAAAAATTTAATAAAGTAAGATTAAAATAATATTTAAGTAATAAAAATTCCGAAAAACCCGACAAAGCCGAACCAATCCATATAGTTGGTTTGGTTAGATTTTGATAAAAACCGAATCAACCCGATATTATGGGGTTTTATCACATGTCATGCTCTGTTCTAATTGCTCTTCCTCTTTTCATGTGATACAGAGACAAATTGGAACAAAGACTAACATTTTTCACTTTGAAAGCATCCTTCACCTAAACTATCATCTAATTTACATAATGAACAACTTCAGAATTACATTTGAAAGTTCACAAACACAACTTAACACGTGCTGCGAATGAGACTCATTGAAGTTTATTGGATCAGCTACATTTTCATAGAGGACTAACGCCGCACCATATCTGTACATACCATGCCACTACGTACACAATGTTGCAGAAACTTCGAATAATCAAGGGAGAAAAGGATTATGAGAAGGACAATCCGCCCTCTGTTTTCTGTAGGCCCTGATAGTGGAAAAGGTAATAAAAAACAGCTATTCAGATTTCAGATCATCTCATTAAATCTTTTCTTCAAGCAAGCAACAAAAGACCATCTCACTATCAACATGTCAATTACCTGGCAACATTTGTTCCTCCCAATGTTACAGTTCCCAAAATAATAAAAAGAAAGGGAATCCCAATCAGTGGATGATTTTTCCTCCCTCCTCTAGGAACTCCACTTCTTACAACACGTGAATATCCAACTGATAACAAAACATTGTCTTTCCATTAGATCACGGGTTAATCTCATGTTACAGGTGCACATAAACACACATGCATATGGACACAATAAGGAGCTCTAGAGAAACTTACCACCATGTTGACCTTCCTGTCTTGTACCTGTAATTGCTATTCAAAGTGAGACGATGAACCCAACAAAGAGAGTAAGGAACAAATAAAACAGCAAGCAATAACAAATAAGTGTACTGATAAGGCTCTAGACATTTAATGCACATACCATATTTATCTTGGGGCAAAATTTAGTGTTTGCCACCCTAGAAATTCGGGTTACTGCATATTTGGCAAAATGGCAGCCTGGTGCACGAAACATCCCACGTTCACGTAAGGTACGAGAAAGAGCCACACCCCCACCCCAAGGGGGGTGTGATAGAGGCAGTCTACTCTAATGCAAGCATCAGTAGCTAATTCCACGGCTCGAACCCGTAAAGTATAGGTCATACAGTTACTACATATTTGGTTTCTCTAATTTCAATTAGGGCGTGAGTTGAAATATTAGGGACAATTGATGATGGAAAATGGCCGGTTTAATGCTACTGGATTCAAAATTTGATTGCTATCCTAAAACTTTGTCTATTTTGCTTTGTAAACTCGCATAGGTTAGACAAGTGGTACTAGGGATCTTTGTGATCTTTGTGTAAAGCTACACACGAAAAGTATCCAACAAGTTATTCAAAGTGGTAAGGGTTCTTTCTTAGAGGATGTATAAGAGATTTGTGTGAAAAGTTCTAACTTTCTCGCTCGCACACATCACACATAAAAGCATTGGTAAACATGAGCATGTTTGGAGTTGCGCGGATATTATAGTTCTTTTGTTTTTTAGGATCTGATAGAAAAAAGATTCATAAATTAAAATGAGCCGTAGTAGTATTCTTGATAAGAATGCTACAGGAGAGGGAACATTATAAATAACAGTGTAACTTGTACCAATTGTAACATAGAATGCTGATTATGAATGGAGGTGAGATGAATTGAAAAGCCAAAAATAAGCTGGTTGCATCAACTTAACCAATACAAGATGTACACTTTGAAGAAACACGACTGAAAAAGCCAAAAATAAGCTGATTACTTAAGGATTTATCACAAGAGTACGGAATGGAGGTACTTTTAGTGCAATAGCTTATAGATTGACTTTCTTTGTTTTTATAACAACAACAACAACAACCCAGTATAATCCCACTAGTGGGGTCTGGGGAGGGTAGTTTGTACGCAGACCTTACCCCAACCCTAGGGTAGAGAGGCTGTTTCCGATAGACCCTCGGCTCTTTCCCCTCCAAGAACTCCCCACCTTGCTCTTGGGGTGACTCGAACTCACAACCTCTTGGTTGGAAGTGGAGGGTGCTCACCACTAGAGCAACCCACTTTGTTTTTATAACATTTTAGAAAATATTTTTCTTAATACCATATAATATTTTCCTATGTGAAATTAGGAGATACAACTTACCACTTATTATCACCATAAGTAGCAAAAAGTTCCTGAATGCATCTTTTGTCATGCTAAGAAGTTTCAATAAAAGCCTCCAACATTTTGTTGCGCAAGTTGATGTATTAAACTAGCAACCACCGAAGTTCCAGCTCAGTTGTATGAACTAGTGTTAGCTAACCAGAAGAACACAACAAATTTTGCAAAAATATCCAAGCATATAATAGCATCTTTACTACTACGTCTTTTGGAGTTAAGCTTGATAAAAAAAAATGACATATTCTGGAAAGGAGTTTACCCTATAAAGGCACAGGTAACGATCTTCTATTATTGGCCCCACGTAATGATGATCCATGTCACTTTCAACTTTATAATACAAATAATGAGTTGTGCAATAGGATGTCAAAACTACCAGAAGCAAACTTATGAGAGGAACTGGTGGTCAAAATCAGGCCAATAATAGATGGAAATCCATATGCACAATTCTTTGCCAGCCAAAAAATCATTCTACATTTTCAAATATACAAATTCGAATTGTTGTTAATGCTTCTTTAGATCAATGTGTATACACCCTAAGTAGATCAAGTTACAGCAATTTGGATAGACCGAAACAATCGAAATATAGTGCTCGAAAGAGATATTATCGTTCATGAACATTCATGCAACAAACATAGAGTAACACATTACTATAGTTGTTATGACCCGCTACAATATCCTTTACTTTTTTCGAAAGGTGAAGGGGGTCGGCATCAAAGTATAAGGAAATGTCGCAATTCAAAAAGTAGCATTACATAGATGAAGTTGCAACCGTCAGCACAAATATTCCAGGACAACGAAGAAGAAGGTAAATATTTATGAATTATGCAATACAAACTTTTCAAAGCTTAAACTAACGATTATCAATATAAACAAATCTTACTTATAAGTGTACGAAGTGAATCTAAAGGATATGTGTCTTGTAAACAGTACTACTACTATAAATTACAAGTACAAAAAGAAGAGAAATTCATATTACTACTATTTGACATATTATTGCAACAATTGGTTATTGACGTGTACATAAGAATAGAAACGAGGCTTAAATATTTTAGAAATGAACAACCAAATCTCAAAAGGGAGATATATATAGTTGACAATGTCTGAATGTCATGACAAGAGAATATAGAGGAGAATAGGTCGGTCAAAGGATATTACTTCTGGCATCCTTTGGAAAAAGTAAAGAATATTGTAGCGTGTCATAGCAATCACATTAATGTTTTACTCGATATTTCTTGTCTAAAGGTTCATGAACAATAGTATCTCTTTTCAACAGTATCTTTAGATTGTTTCCGTCTATTCAAATTGCAGCAACTTCTACTGAGGATGTTATACACACGTTGATCTAAACAAACATTAGCAGCAGTTCAAATTTGTACATTTCGAAATGTCGAATAATCTTATAGTTGTAGAAAGAATTGTGCATACGGATTTCTATCACTTCCTCGGATAAGTTTGCTTCTTGGAATTTTGACACCCTGTTGCACAACTCGTGGGACCAATGACGAAAGATCGTGATATATTTGTCCGTGCCTTAAAAGTAGAAACTTATTTCCTTGAAAATATCATTTCTTTATGAAGCTTAACTCCAAAAGACGTAAAAGCAAATATGATACTATATGTTTGGATATTTTTGCGGAGTTTTTTGGCTTCTTCTGAACACAACTACAAATAATTCGTATAACTCAATTGGAACTTTGGTGGTTGCCAACTTGATACATCCATTTGTGCAACAAAATGTTGGGAAAGAAAATTCACCAACACAACCACATTTCTAGTCTTGAGCCTCATGAGTGGCATCCGTCTCTCACAAGGTGATCCACTATTGTAACACTCTTATTAGTTGTGTAAAAAAAGTTTTGGGGGAACTCATTTTTTTCAGAGTGGTATTCCCATAGTGAATATCCAGCAAAAATTGAATTCCATTTCCATTTCTAACCATGAATAAACTAGTCAATCACAAAGCATCAATCGTTCAAGACAAATTAAGGGTCCTTAGAAGCTCACACTTCTAAAGGAGCAAATACCTTATTTCATCCCACCAGATGATAATGCCTCTCACCTTTTCCACTTAAATACTAGTCTTTTGCCTGCGACAAAGTCCGAACTTGTCACGTGCACCTGACACTACACATCACGTGTTGTACTCTTACCACTAGACTAAAGACATAGGGGCTAAATGAAACATTGTAGCTTTCTGTCAATGCCTTAAAGAAAATAGGAACTAGATCAAAGCTTGTAACATCAAAGGAATATAAGGAAGATCTAACAGTAGTTCTCGCAGGAATATATAATGGAGAATTATACACTATATGTTTTTAAAAGGGACAAGATGAGTGGAGAAAGAAACAATATTGTAAGCGGAAAGTGGAAGGATCTTTAGTTGAAAATCATGTTAATTTGCCATTTCATCAGCAAAGGTTCCAAGCAAGTAAATGAATCTATTTAGCTTGTCACATATTGCAGAGGTGCTAAGACATGAAAATTACCAGAAAGCAGGCAAGTGTATGCTTCTGAAATCTGCATCCACACACATTTTAAACTTCAATAACAATGACCAATCAAACAAAGCTCATAGAAAAGAAATGGCACATATAAACTGAACCATCATCATTCAGATAGAGGAAAGGTGAAGGACAAAGAATTACGCTTTAGATTAAGAAAGTGTGTAGTTGGCACCCAAGGGTGTGGCCTAGTAGTCAATGGGGTGGGTTGAGAATTTGAGGTCTCAGGTTCAAATCCTAGCGGAGACAAACTGGGTGATTTTTTTCCAGCTATCCAAGCCTTGGTGGATAAAGTTACCTGGTACTTGTTGTTGGTGGGAGAAAGCAGGTATCCCGTGGAATTAGTAGAGGTACGCACAAGTTGGCCAAGACACCATGGTTATCAAAAAAGAAAGTGTGTAGTCGAAGAAAGAGGGGAGAAATTCATACAGCACGAGAGTTACCAGAAGGATCAATGAAGATACTGGTTCTCATAGGCAAAAATTATTTCTTCGCTCTACCTAAATGGTTCCAAAAGACTACCTTGGTTTAGGATAACACACTTATTATGGCAAGTTTATTATGGAGAAAATGTTGAACGAGCCACTTGCTTTTTCTGTTTATTATAACATAGAGCGTGTAAGACCACATTACACAGTATATAAGTTAGTCCCAAGCGCAACATTGTTTTGTGATGCTCCAAAATTGATGAAAATGAAGTTTCAAAGAAAAAGATCACCAGGTATCATAAGTAGAAATGACGAAAATAAACATTCTGGAAAAATATGAAATTCGGTAAAGTAGTTGTTTCAAGGGAGAATAGTAGAAGTGGAGGCATGGGGGTGGGGGGTCGTTGTGCCAACAAAGTGGAAAGTTCACCATCTTAAATTTGAGTTCTGCACCAGGTTTGAGATGAACTGGAAAGCAATCCGGATGAGTTTCCCATACCTTCCTTCTATAAGCAGCTTTGACCTACATTTGTTTGAAATGTGGTACTATGATTAGTTTCATAAATGGCGCCGCACAGGCAGTAATATAGCTTTTACAAAAAATCACTACCTGCATAAGTTTTCAGAATCCTAATAAAGACAAAACAATGAAAAAGAAAATAAACTGAAATAAAAAGTAACAAATATATGTTACAAATCTGAGGGAAATGTTTGCTTAAGCATCATTTTTGGTTTCGTGCCCAAACATCTACCACATTCAAATAGCCCTAAGCTGAATTCTTCTAGAAAACAAGTTACAGAATTCATAAATAATACTAATACTATTACTGAACCAACCACAAAATAGTCCTTCGAGTTCATGAAAACATTTATGTTTGTCAAACAAATTGAAACTAGCGGTGGGTGATTAATGTAGCAAATAAGATAAAGAAATTGAAAAAACACACATGCACAATTACACAGGGAGCATATATTTCACTCCTTTATACGCTTATCTATTCGTAAATAAAACTTGTTTGTGGAGAAAATTTCCATTCACTAATGATAAGCAATTAAATATATTTACAAATTGATAATTTGCAAGTATCCTCAGTTTAATTCTCCACTTACTCCAAACGACAAATAAAAATCAAAGGGAGAAAAAGGAAACAAAAACCTCATTGTAAACCCTCCCAAGGGGGTGTTATTCACTCTGCTTTTCTAGTTTTCTTCTGCTTACTGTACATATTATATCATTTGGTTAAGGTGTATCAGCAATCTGACAACAATTTTAAGAAAAGTTTCTTCCTTTGGCAATTTGAAGTAAGAATTTACAAACTGACCTAAATAAGAAAAAAGTTCAAGAGATGTATAACCAATTTTAAAATAAGCCGCACGACAGCTGAAAAAAGCATTGATAGTGTGGGATAATAATATAAATGTAATATTAAGATAAACAAAATCAGGAAAACAACAGATTGAGATAGTAGGAAGCAGCAAGAGTCATAATCAGTGGGGCGTCCCTAATCTTCGGTAAATACATGGATGATGGCATAGTAGAAAAACAAAGAACAAAGATAATTGAGCTAAGCTACTGAGGTATGTTGACGGAAAGAGGAGGTTGCTGAGTGAGAGTTCCAGTGGAAGGAGACCTGATAGATGAGATAGATCATATCACATGAGATGTCCTTTGAAATTGATGCTGGTTATATCATACTATGTAACAGTGTCTAAAGGTTTTCCTCCATAAAGGAAGCATTTGCAGCTGAAAGGGGACAAAATATTGTGTGAAATAAAAATGTGTTATTTCTAAAAATATGTCGTTCCTTTCTTCAATTATTGGAGGCTGATCCCTAAAATAAGTGTAGAATTGTAAGAATCACAGTAGGTGTGATAAAATACTAGGCTAAGCAAATTGTTGGCAAGGAATGTCGTGCGAAAGCTAGGCCAGGCAAACCTTCTCAAGAAAATTCTTGAATTATAGGTCAAATCGTAATTCGATTACTCAGTTGCTATTGTTTTACTGTCCCGGTACTACACTCACCTCGTGTTGGTATTTTGTGTAGTATACTAAATAATATAAGAAACAAGCATGCCACACACCTTTCTATGTATACAATAAACATAAAAATCTATACCTGACAAGGAGTGGGGCAAGAATTAGTGGAAAAGCCTAGCAAGATTTTTGCCTCGTCCACCAGCATCTCAAGTATCTAATTGTGCCTGAAAAATGTTGAGGCCAAAACAACCAATCAGGTTTGCGGATTCAAGTTAGAAACACAATCATGATGCAGGGAATTTATAGGACACCTTCTACATTACTTGAATTAAAAACGAGAATCAGTAATCAAAGTAAAGACAGAGCTTTAAACCCCGGAGAACAAGCAGAAAAGACATTATATGCATCATTTACCAGCGACGAGCTCAAAGAGATGAAGAGATACAGCCACAGCAATTGCGAAAAGAAAAGAAAAAGAAGTCAATTATCCGAATAAAATCAAGGAATTGAGAGATCACCTAAAATAGGTTGGCGCCTTGAAGTGAACCGACGCCGTTTGTTTAATTAACGGCTTCAGAACACGTAACATCCTATACCACCTCACGTTTGTATGCAGAATCTGAGTGGTTTTTCCCTGTTTAAAATCAAACTCAATAAAGGAAGACCTTTTTCAGTTTTACAAAAACTAAAAACTTTTTTTAATAGGTCTGGTGGAAAAAGAAATTTCCTTTCAATTTTTCGCAAAAATTGAAAATTTGTTATAAAATAAAGACAAGTATAGAGAGAAACTGATATATTATTCAAACTTTAAACTTATGTACATAATAAACTGAAAACTCCTCTATTTATAGAAGAAAGGAAGCAGCAGCAGCCTGCGAGGCTTTTCAGGAAGCAGCTGCAAGGCTTTTCTTTAGCTGCTTGTAAGTTGTCTGCATGAGCTGCTTGCAACCTGTCTGTTTAATAAGAAGCTGCTGCAAATCATTTCATTAAGCTGCTTGCAACCTGCCTGCATCAGCTGCTTGTAGATAAACTTCAACAGAATACTAAATGGATAATCTTCTTCAATGGACATCCACAATATAATTATTTTCATAACAAAATCAATCTTTTTTAGCTTTTGCCTCAATTTTCCACCAACATTGGTAAATTCAACTCTGCTAATTCATTCCCTTTATCGCATGTTTGATACTTTCTCTGTCTCTTTTTGCAATTTCTATGTGTGTTCCCATGTTTGCTGTTTGATACTTTGATAAGTTTTTTTAAAAATTATTTTTGTTTTGTTCCTTGACCTATTAGAGTTGCTTTTGATACAAAAAATTGAATTAATTCTTGTTAGCATAAGTTCCCATTGGAATTGATTTGACTAACTTGTTTATATATATTTTCAAAATTTAGGAATTAATAGTTTCTGTATTTCATTAAAATATTGGCCTTCTTTTAGCTAAACTATTGTCAGATTGTGGGTTAGAAATTTGTTTTCTTATTGTTGAACTTCCCCGAATGTTTGTTGATGTCGCAAAAAGTGTGTTGCGCTTGAGCTAAACTATTGTCAGATTGTGGGTTAGAAATTTGTTTTCTTATTATTGAACTTCCCCGAATGTTTGTTGATGTCGCAAAAAGTGTGTTGCGCTTGAGCTAAAAATCTAAGGACGAGTTTGAGCTTTGGGATGGAGAGGGGAAATCCTTACATGAATCGCAAGTGAATTTTTTTTGAAATTAGAAAAAAGATGGATGGAGAACCAAAATGCACCAATTTTGCAAACATGGAGAACTATTAGTGCTCCATGAATAAAGTAACATTGGAGCTAAGCCAAAACATAATTTGATCATAAGATAAGATTGTTCTATTTGTTCAACCTCTTTTTTATTTATCCTATTTTCTTCTCATCGTCTTTTCTTTCCGTTTCCTTCTTCCTCAATAGATCGAGGTAGCATTTGGGTTGCCGATAAGAGATTGGAGAAATAATGGACTTCTTTTAATAATAAGACTACTTACATTAGTCGCTTGTTTTGGTTAAAAAAATACATAAAAAATGATAGATTGTAATTCGATTTAAGTATTTATTCGATATAACCAAAATGCATAGTTCGCTAAGTTCGTCGTATTGGAAAAAGAAAATAATGAAACCTTGATAAATAAATAAATAATTAATTAAGCTATATGATTAATAATATACTCCATCAATTATTTAATAAGATTTAACGGTCACAATAATATTATTTTATTGAGATTGGGTTGTATAATGAAAACCATCGTCAGTTCTATCGCAATTGTCTCATACCATATACTCCATTTTGTATTTTCGGAACAGAGTGATCGTTGTAAATAAGACTTTGGACAACTAGTTTAACAACTCTAATTCTGTATGAGTTGCTCACTTTGCCCCTGTGCAAGCCTGAATAAAAGAGAATGATGTAATATGTTTGTCAATCAGTGTAAAATTAGTGAATTTACAATGAATCCTCGCAATACAGAATGCGTTAAAACATGCTCACCTAGGCACACAACAAATCAGGAGGTCCAAATGCAACAAAGTGGATAGTGAAAGATTCATACAAGTAAAAACCACCTCAGATAATTTGAAATTGAGGTGCAGTAGTAGAGTAGTTGTTATTGGTCACCAACTCTAATTATATCACATTAGACATGTCAATGCTATGAATTTTGCTCATTTATGAATACTGTAGGCATCCAAATTTATTGAATTTAAATTCAATAAAATATTTTGGACTTTACTTTAAATATATGTTAGTCCAAACAAATATTATGGACCTATATGATTGGATTAATTATATTAGTCCAATATATATGGATTAAATAAGTAAATCCAAATTTATTGGGCTAACCCATTCACTTGGGCCACAAGTGATGAGCCCACTTTATTAGGCCCAATATGTCATCTTCTTGGAGGCCCAATTTGGTGCCACGTGTCAAATGATATGGCACGCCAAGTCAAACAGAAGAGCTAATAGGATCATGCCACATGTCAAAATGACAAGGTACGCCAAGTCAAATTAAAAGGCCAATGAAGCTACGCCACATATGCAAGTGACATATTCTAGCCAATCAAATGCGGCCTTGTCACACTTCAATCTGATTGGTCGGAAAGTGTTTGTTCTTATCAAACTCTTCTCTTCCACTACTATAAATATGGGTCTTCATAACTCAGAAAAGGGATCAGAAGTTATAACAAGAAGACACAAGGGAGCTCGTGGATCAAATACCATAATTCTCTGCAAACTGTAAGTGTTCAAACATTCAAACACTTCAACACAAATTTCAAGTATTCAAGATTAAGAACGAAGTCAAATCAAATACAAGGCGTCCAAGATCAAGGCTACTTGTTTGTGATAAAATTGGTGGCAACAATCAAAGCGTTCGCGACAGATAAATTAACTTCAAATTCAAGATCAAGCTCAAAGGCCCTTGAATTTATATTGGAAAAGTAGAATCAGAGGATCCATAGAGATTGTACTCATATTATTTGAAATCAAATACTATGATTGTTGCAATATTTTTGGTCTCGATTATATTTCTTGACGCAAATTTATTGTCTACAAATTCTGGCATGCCCAGTGGGACAATCTCTACCTCTCATCTCTACTTTTCGATCACTAAAGTTTAAGAACATCGAAATATCTTCAAAGAAAATCAACTCTAGATTCCACTAAAGCTGCTAATTACAAGTTCTATGCTGATGTGGAAATCATCCTCAATATTACCTTTGGAAGATTTGGGCTATTTACAAGGAGCAAAGTAAGCTCTTTAGGATAACAAATACTTCAAGTGTCGTCCGCATCAACCCTTGTTATCGGATCTTCATACTCAAAAGGAACAAGATCCTCTACAAGCGCAACCCAAAAAGGGAACGATGTCGCCGAAAGGATCGAAAAGGTTCTTGCTCAACTTAGTTTATCTAAGTCCAAGAAACCTTTCATGCAAGTCGATGATGATGACTTGAGCGTTGGATCTCCTCTAGTCTCCATTAATGAGACCTCTAAGCTCTATCCCAACAATGATCTATATTATTCTTCATCCTCTACGGCGATCATGCAAGCAATGGTTATTGAAACTTCTACTGTAGAAGAACAACTTGCAAATTTGACGAAAGCAATTGAAAGCCTATCAAAGTGCGTGCATGATCAAGATGCTAAACTTTCCAAGTTAACACATATATTGGATAGCATAGTAGAGGGAGAATCCACACAAACACCTTTAAATTTCCAAAGATCAAAAGATAAAGAAGATTCCTCCGAAAAGCAAGCAACAACAACCAAGGAGATCAAGTCTCCGGTGAAGGTCTGATTCCCGTTGAGAAATAAAACGGACTTCATAATGGAGGATATCAAAGATAAGTCTGAGTCGTCAAAATTATCTCTCACATATGCAAAGTTGTACATGCAAAGAATCGACAACTTGAAGATGCATGTTAGTTATCAACCTCCTAAGTTGCAACAATTCGACGGCAAGGGAAATCCGAGACAACATGTAGCACACTTTGTTGAAACTTGCAACAATGCTGGAATGCGTGGTAATTATCTTGTCAAACAGTTTGTACGATCTCTCAAAGGTAATGCATTCGATTGGTACATAGATCTCGAATCTGGTTCCATCGATAGTTGGGAGCAATTGGAGCAAGAATTTCTCAATCGTTTCTATAGCACAAAATGCATCGTAAGCATGATCGAACTTACAAACTATCATCAATGAAAGGATAAGCTAGTTATTGACTTTATCAACCACTGGAGGAGCTTAAGCCTCAATTGCAAAGATCGCCTTAGCGAAACTTCTGGCATCGAAATGTGTATTCAAGGCATGCATTGAGGTCTTCGCTATATCTTACAAGGCATAAAGCCCAAAACATTTGAAGAACTAGCAACTCGTGCTCACGATATAGAACTAAGTATGGCCACAAGTGCAGACCAAGGGCTACCTGTCTTTGAGCCTTATGACGACAAAGAAGAAGAACAAAAAGGCAAGGATGGGGGCAAGTTTTCATCCGAAAATGAAACCGAATAGTCTATGCATGTCACTATGCTCCTTAACGCATGAGCCTGAACTGCAAGTTATAATGCTCCTGAACGCATGAGCCTAAACTGCAAGTTATAATGCTCCTCAACGCACGAGCCTAAACTGCAAGTTATGATGCTCCTTAACGCATGAGCCTAAACTGCAGGTTATAATGCTCCTCAACGCACGAGCCTAAACTGCAAGTTATGATGCTCCTCAACGCACGAGCCTAAACTGCAAGTTATAATGCTCCTCAACGCATGAGCCTAAACTACAAGTTATAATACTTCTTGGCACATGAGCCTACACTGTATGTCATGAATCTCCCCAAATTTGAACTAAATCTTTAAAACGTAAAGCTCTTCAAATTCGAGCAAAGTTTTCAAATTACAAAGCTCTTCAAATTCGAGCAAAGTCTTCAAGTTGCAAAGCTCTTCAAATTCGAGCAATTAAAGTTCTTCAAATTCGAGCAAAGTCTTCAAATTATAAAGATCTTCAAAT